ATGCAGTGTAGGCAGCCGAGATGGGGGCCATCATATCTTGTACATCAAGGCAACTATTAGAACATGCTTTACCTGTTTTCATGCCATTTATAAAAGCCATTAGCTCTTCAGTAATTAAACTTATTAGCCGTTTTCCAACCTCGGAATCTTAAATGAGATGGTTGTAGCAAAATCCCCCCAGATCTGATCTCTCCTCAAAGTAAGCCGGAATTTATTGGATTGTGATGGAGTTATATGAAATATGATCGCTTACTTATTCCTGTCTTTATTTATAATTTGCTTTCTAATTATAAAAGCAATATTTCCTCGGAAATTGACGATCAGGACCATGAAAACAAAACCACCTGCGATTCCAGAGTCTTTGTGTGCATTGCTGTTTCTGGAGGCTTCTAGAGACAGAGCTGTGTCCGGGAGGGAGAGTAAGTGCCCAGCTCTGTAGTTGTCAAAAGGGAAGTGCTTATGTCTTGCGGATTGGGGCAGACATCTGGATGACTAGACAGACACCTCATTATTTTGCTGAGGAATATATTTTAAATTGTGAGTTTGTTTCTTCTTGGGACGAGCTATCTGTGTAAGATGTCACAAACACTACGCTTCAGCCTGGATGTTCTGGGCCTGCTCATTAAAGTGTGGAATCTTCTGCACTTGTGTCATGATTCCTCTCAGCAAGACTGCAGCTAGGGCTTGTTATGGTCACCTTATTCTGGTGAGAGATTCTGGTGAGGGTTTCTGTTCAGAGACAGTCATGGCTTTAATCTGAGTTTACTTGCTTGGAGGCAAATGTAGCCTTATCTTGAGGGTAGAATAGTTCAAGCGCAGCCAACAGGCCTACAACTGTGTCACATCCCCAACAACCGTTATTTCTCAGGAAATGACTCTTAACATTTATATATACATGTGAACAATGTGCAGAGTATATCATGTACATGGTACAAGAATATGATTAACAAACATCATATTCGTGACAAGATTTAGAAAGCAAATGCATCTGTAAAAATAAAGCATATCTCATTCTCACCAATATTTTTGAGTCTCCTAGTTTGCTTCCATGGCTATACTTTTCTTATTTCCTACCATACATAGTATGATAGTTGGTTTTTGCCAACTTGAGAAGAGGGAATCTCAACTGAGGGGTTGCGTGCATCAGACTGGCCTGCAGACAAGTCTGTGGAATGTTTTCTTGAGTAATGATGGATGTGGTAGGGTACAGATCGCTGTGGTGGTCCTGCCCCTGGGCAGGTGGTCCTCAGGTCCATAAGAAAGCTGGCTAAGCAGACCATGGGCAGCAATCCAGTAAGGAGAATTCCTCTGTGACCTCTGCCTCAGTCTTTGTCTCCAGGTGCCTGCACTGGCTTCCCTCAGTGATGGACTGTAACCTGTAAGCCAAATAAACCATTTCTTCCCACAGTGTTATCACAGCAATAGAAAACAAGCTAAGACGGATGGCTTACTCACCAAGGAAATATGCACACGTTCTTGTGCCAACATCGTTGTTATTCTACCACATGGTAACCTACTGTGTATGTTGCTAAGCATCCTTCATTTTGTCATTTAACAGTATTACTAGAGATAATTCCATGTTCTCTGCCTTTAAACTTTACAATATGTCAATACGCTGGCACACTCTTCATAACCATCATCCTTAATAGCTATAAAAGTTGAGCAAATGATTCATGCAATACTCCAATAAATATTTACCACACACCTGCAGAGCCCTGGTTGAGTCTCAGATAAGAAGTGACAAGCCACACCCTAAAAGGAGTCATGGCCTGGAAAAGGTAGCCCGGTAAACAAGTAGGTTACAAGCTGTTGCTAAGCTCCAATACGGGGTGCTGAAAGAACAAAGGATTAAGGCTCCAAGATGTCAAGCAAAAGTGTTGAAGGGTCAGTAAGGCAAGTTGGCTCATGGACAAAAGGCAAGAGGACCCTGGACAGAAACCAGGAACAAGAGGCACAGGCGTGGGAAAGATCATCACAGTCACCTGACTGTAGGGAGTTGGGTACAGCCCCAACGACTTGATCTATCAGTTTGCAGTCAAGTGTTCAACATAAATAATGCTACCACATACAACTTTCAGTATATAGCTTTGTCCATATCTTGGAGTATTTCTTTGGCTACATTCCCAGACGTGAGTCAAAATGTAAAACTTTGACCTGAGACATATGGCTAAACCTCTTTCCAAATGGACCTTATCTCTCATATGCTGCAGTTGCGTAGGCCTTGCGATACATTGCAATGACATATATGTAAACCAGTGCTTATTATATTTGAAACTTTATCATTAAGTTAATGTATATTTTTATTACCAGAACGTTACATTTCCACATAGATGTTAGATTTCTTCTCATGCCTTTTGATATTTATTTATCTACTTATTTTTATTATTTTGAGACACTGTTTCTTTGTCTAGCCCCAGATACCCTGGAACTTGCTTTACAGGCCAGTCTGGCCTCAAACTCAGGTGAGATCCACACTGCCTTCTGAGTGCTGGGATTAAAGGCGTGTGTGCCACAATGCCTGGCTTGTTTTTGGTTTAGACACAGGGATTCTGTACTTTAGCTCTTATGAGCCCTTCTCACAACACAGGTATTCGGACTCACTGTTCATGTTTGCTGCCCATAGCCTCTCCTGGTTAGCTGGATACAACAAGCGTCTGACAGATAATTTATGAAGGCACACTTAGTCATATCCATTGATTATCCCCTTCCATTGTTTCTAAGTCAAGGAATATTTCTATTATGAAGTTTAACAAATATTCTATTTTATTCATTGCTTAAAATATATTTAACTTATTAATCTTCACAGAACTTTGGATATATGATGTGGCACAGACCATTCAACTAGTGTTTTTTTTTTAATGGTTCTCCAAATTGCAAATGAGTGATCGAACTGTACCTTCTCCATTAATATTTTGTGTCTTTTTTTCCTTTTGGAGATAGCACCTCAGATAGCCCAGAATGGTTTTGAAATTTAATATGTAGCTAAGGATGACCTTGAATATTCCTGTTCCCATTCCTTAAGAGTTGGTAATAAACACACACACACACACACACACACCACCACCACCACCACCACCACCACCATCACCACCACCACCGTCCATTGATGTTTAAGGCTTTATTTTTAGAGATGTTTTTAAGTTCAAGGTGAAGGAGGAGGAAACTACCTATGGGGTTTCTTCTGTATGAAATCCAAAATAGGGCGAAAACTATGGACAGGTAAAACATCAGTGGTTTCGGGGGAAGGGAAGCAAAGGTTGTCTTGGCAGAACGCAGAGGGTTTATAGGACAGAGAAAATACGTGGTATGATTCTCTAATGAGAGATACATGTCACTAGACATTCATCTAAGTCATGGATATCAGCAGCATGGATATGATGGGGCAAGGACACTTGAGCTATCACTTAAGGGTAAAACCCAGCCTTCAGTTGGGTTTAATTCTAGTCCTCTGTTGAAATGTGTCACACAGCTTAGGGGAGACCTTTCCTCTGGCTTTCCCAGAATTCTGCAGTTGCAGCTCTATTTATACACAGACAGAATTACAACAGCACGAGTAGGTTTAGGTAAAGCTCCTCAGTGCCATGTTAGTAAGGATCCATTGTTGGCATCCACACTGTCTGGGCTGGGTGGAGGGAGAGACGGCTCTTTCATCCCCTGCTAGCCGGTGTCATGGTATGGAGTGAGTAGGATTCCTGGTCCTCCTGCCTTTTGGATACCCTGACTCAAAACATAGTGCCAATCCCTCTGAAGACCAGGCCCATCTGGAAGGAGCTTACTGTGCATAAAAGTAAACTTGCCTTACCAATACTTGGCTACAGGTTGCCAGCTTGAAGCCAGTTTTTGAGCAAAAGCAGAGGCAGTCACTTAGCAAAGCCCTACTCTGGATCCCAAGCCTTCCCAGACCCCGAGGTTACCGTTTTCAGACTTTATTCACCATGCCCGGGAAGACAGTCTCAATGGGTGGTTCTGGATTTTCTTTTTTAATGTCTATCATAGATGTTTGAAGATGTAATCAAATTCCTATAGAAGCTGCCACACATTTCTTAGCTGTTCTTGCTTCTCCTACCATGAAACACCGGCACCTGTTTCCCTGCACTTGTGAAGCATGTGGATATGCAATTGCTGGGTACCTGGTCACCGATGCTTCTCAGTTTCCACCCTCTAACTCTGGTCTTTGTCAGAGGTCAGGAGTGGCCTGAGTCTATACACCCAATTGAGATTCCCCAGAGGAAGACGGTCCTGTAACTCCTGGATCGCTTCTTCAGTTAGGAAGCTGTTGTGTTCCTTGGCCTCTAATTCCATCAAGGGTGGAAGTTGACCTGGATCAAGAATCCTCTGGGTGCCCCCGTCCCCGTCCTTGCCCCCATTTGCAGGATGAAATTCATATCTCTTGCTAGTGGGAAGGTTGGGTTAGTCACAGAGAGATTCAGAGTATCCTCACACCCCTAGCCTCTTCTCTTCAACTCCCTAACTCCCCTTGCACTCCTCAGCAAAGTCCCGCCTTCCACATAGTGGTGCTGGAGGAAGATGCATGGTTAGATAGCAAGGGGACCTTGTGTGTGTGTGTGCGTGTGTGTGTGTGTGTGCGTGTGTGTGTGTGTGTGTGTGTGTGTGTGTGTGTTGGAGAGGGATTCACCCAGCTTTAGCGCCCCGAAACCACTCTCTTTTCTGGTATCCCTCCAGAGCAGCTGGTGGTCTAGTGAGGGTTCATCTCCCGCGTCGGTCCCTCTACCTAGGCTGCTCTGGATCAGCGCACGGTGGAGTGCTCCCTCGGATCCCCGGGCAGCAAGAGGCTCGGGGAGGAAGGAGCCGGGAGCGAGGAGTCGAAGCAGAGGAGCAGGCGGACGGCGACAGAGGTGGCGCGGCTGCGTGGTGCCTCTCGGGAGCTCCCGAGCACGAGTCGAGCGCGCGCGCGCCTGGCCGACCCGGGCGCCGGGCGGAGCTGCGGGCCGGGGCGGGCGGAGCGAGCGGCGGGCGGAGCGAGCGGTGGGAGGCGCGCGAGCGAGCGGGCAGGCGGCGGGCAGCGTCTCCGCCGGCTTCTGCGCGGCCGCCACTGCCTGGAGCCCGGGGACCGAGCGCTGGACCCGCCGCCTGGCGCACGGACGCGAGGCTCCCGCTTTGTGCTCCGTGCCGGTTCGACGAGGCTTCCCGGCGGTTGCGGCCACCGCGTCCCGGCGGCATCGGAGGCCCGCGGCTGGAGGTGCCGGAGCCGCTCGGTCCGCGCGGCTGAGCCCCGCGTGCCCTGCTGCTCGCCGGGCTGCTCCGAGCCGCCGTGCTCCGGGGCTCCAAACTCGGGCTGGCGGGGAAAGTGTCTTCATGAACCCAGAGGATGTCCGGGAAGCACTACAAGGGTCCTGAAGTCAGTTGTTGCATCAAATACTTCATTTTTGGCTTCAATGTCATATTTTGGGTAAGTTGGAGCGCTCCTGGGCTTCCAAGTGCCGTGGCGGATGGGTGGGCGACGGTCCCCCGCTGTGGTCGCTGCCTTTACTTTTCGCTGCCCCCGGGGAGCCTTCCCTAGTCGGGGCGAGAGGCGTCTACCTTCCGCCTTCCCGGCTCGAGCGCGGGGGAGAGAAACACTTCATCCTTTCCAGGACCCAGAGGAGGTGAAAAGAGGAACCGAGCCGGGCAGGGGGCAGCCAGGCCTCAGGGTGGCTTTTTTCTTTCTTTTATTTAAAAAAAAAAGGGGGGTTGACTCGCTTGGGCATGGATGGGAGGACGGCTCGGCAGTTTGAGAAACGAGCGAGCACACGATTAGATTTGCTTCCCGTGGGATCTGGATGTTGGGCAAAGCGTGGTGTCATAATGGGGCAGGCTAATCGGGCAGAGCCGACCCCGAGATCCACCTTCCAGCGCCGTTCTGATTGGCCGAGGGCTTGGCTCGGTGTTGCCGCGGCTGGTCTGTGGCGTGCTCAGCGTGTATCTCCTTGCACCATCTCGGGCTTTGTGTAGGATGCAGATGCCATGGTGTGTGGTTCTGTAATGTGCACGTAAATAACGCGTCCTGCATGCTCCTCTCCGCTTGTAAAGCGCTCCCTTTGCATAATGGACCGGTCAAGTGGGCGTGTGGGGTGGAGGGGTTTATTTCTCTGTGTATCCTTGTGGAATAACTAGTCACCAGTCAACATAGGTTCCAGTGTGCGCGTGCCTCACGTCCTCCCTTTTTTAAAGGGGTGACACACAGCGGGCCGGGTTTTAGTAGCCCTCGGAGGAACGCTAAGGAGAAGAAGGTGTGCGAGACCTGTTTTACTGGCTGAGCAGGCGAGCAGCTGCTTGCACACCGGGTTCAACCGTGCTCGGCTTGGCACTGCCATGTGCGGTGTGCCTATTGTAATCAGGCTGGGACCCTACTCTTTTGTTTTGGTTCTCTTCTGCGACCTCACAAATGTGTTCAGCAACCAGACAAAGAGTTCTGTAGGACAAGGGGAAAATGGTTGGCTGGAACACTGTATTATTCTTCAGCCCACCTCTTCCTATTGGGTCGTCTTCCTCTCTGATACCCTCCCTCCATGGTCGGTAAAGATGGTGGCTTTCCGTGGGGGGTATCCCCAAGTTTCTGCGAGGTAAATAAACAATGATCCAGCGGTCCTGAATCCAGGACATTTTAATTTGGACTTCCCTTAATTGTGACGGTTTGCGGTAAATGTATACATCTGTGAGAACAGTTGTTTCCCTCCTTACTCACAAGCTTGGTTTATTTTCTATCAGAATGGCCATGTGTGTTTTGTGGAAGGAATTGGACTTGGTGTCAACATGTCATCTGTTCTCAGGACCGGACCAGATTGATGAGGGGCATGGGAATAGATACCATACCCAACCATTCACAGTCAGGCTTGTGTGTGTGTATGTGTGTGTGTGTGTGTGTGTGTGTGTATGTGTGTGTGTGTGATGGTATGTGGTTCCTGGGAACACCCCCCCCTGCTGTAAATACAGCAAGAGGAAATGATTTTCTTTCTTTCTTTCTTTCTTTCTTTCTTTCTTTTTTTGCTTCTCTCCTGGACCCTTCTGGAAATGTTTAAAGTGGTGGGCAGGCATGTTTCCCAGTGAGCTATTCTGATAGCGTTGAACTACAAGAGGCAGGGGCCGTGGTATGGGGCTGCAGGGCAGTGGACGGCCTCTTCATTCTGCTTGAACACTTCCAAAAGTTGCACATCTCAGCTACCAGGCAACAAAAAGCACCCACGGGCTTTCTCTGCAGTTTCATAGCAGGGAGTGGAAAGGAAATGAAAAGGATTGGGGACTGTTTCCCAGGCAGTTTGGTGTAATTTTGTGGAGAGCACAAAGGCAAATTTAGCCCTGTCTCTGGATTAGGCTGCAGCAAAGCCCCCAAACTGTGGAGAGCTTCGACAAAACTGCAGATTGCTGGCATGGAGAGTTCCAGAATAGGGCCCACATCTTGTCTGATTTTGAAGGTATTCCTGTGGGCGGTAGGTAGTTTTGTGGGAAGCCAGAGAACAGGCTGAGGCTGTGAACCTGAAGGAGCCCTCCTGGGCAGGATCGCTGAGGAGGCCCCTGCTAAGTTCTTTACACCCCCACCTCAGTGCCAAGGCCCACCCCGCCCCTTTTCTGTACTGCTCGCTGCCTCCAAATTACCTTATATTTAAATGCCCCATTTTACCAGGCCCAGCGGCTCTGGCAGCAAGCAGCGGGAAAATGCCCATGTTATAATTAAAGCAATCCCCACTAAAATGTTAGTGACTGGAGATCTGGCAGCGGCTGTACAAACTTGCACTCCGTTCCTCTCTTGAGGCACCAACCGGCCTGTGATTGCCAGAAACAGCAGAGCCTGTGCTCTGGCTGTACAGGTATGGAGGAGAAATTGCTAGCAGAGACCACGGGTTCCTAATCTCTCATTTTCACATTGACACGTAGCCTGAATTTGAAATTCATTGAAGACATCTGAAAGTGACAGTTCATGTAAAATAAAAGTGAACACAGCCGCAGCTGTGACAGTTCCGATCTTTTGCTAATCAGCCCTTTGACTGTTAGTCACTTAACTGCCCTGGGCCTTCGATACTCAGCCAGTAAAATGAAGGAGCTGGTTGAATTGTGAGGCTCTCCCTGCTTTTGACAAAGCATTTGTTGAGTTCTAATAACACTGGGTAAGATGAACTTGAAGAGAGGAGCGGTAGTCTGTAATGGAAAAAGCACTTACGGGGAGACTTGCCTAGTTATGGACTGTCCTTTACTGAGGCTCACCCACAGACTGATTTGTTTTTTCATTTCTTCCTCTATGATTCTCTCACTTAAAAAAAAAACCTTTCACTAAATTTCCCTAGCTTGTTAAGTTATTGGCATGCAAGCATATCTCCGTATCTGCACTGTGAATCTCAAAAATGTAGTCCTGAGTCATTACTACATTTTTATTATTAGAATTACAGTTTCATGTGTAAAATCCTGATTCTTTTATGTAACAGTTGTGATACTCTTTGTTAAGCCAACATCTTGTACAGATTCCTTTCTTGTTAGTTATCACAGCGTGGTGGGGGAAAAACCTTGTTTTTCTTGTTCTATATTGGAAGAACTCGAGCCAGCAGGAATTGATTTTATTGAGGGTGTCACCATAGGAAGACATTACTCAGAAACCCTGAGTTGTCTTTGGGGCAGAGGAGAGGGGAGAAGGGGTGTTTTGTTTTAAGGCCAGTCCTTTGGGGAGTTTGAGTCCCATCACTGGCCATTCGTAGATGTTTTGTTCTGGACCTTGATGCTGAACTGAGTCTCAGTGAGTGAGTGAATGCCAGCATCTATGCTGCTGTTTTATTGCTGCACACAACAACACCCAAACTCTAGCACTTTAAAACAAAACCTCATTATTACAGTTCAGTTTGGCCACAGGGATGGTTCTAATCTGGGGTCTCTGCATAGCTGCCGTAAGCTGTGACTGGACTTTTTTTGATGTCTCCTTCAGTTGGGGAGCCCAGGCTGGTGCTCACCTGCGACCGGCAGGTGACACTTTACGATGGATCAGTTGTGGTTGTCAGTCATAGCACAGCACAGGGATTCTGCTGTCTCTCAGACTTGAAGCAGCTTCCAGGCAGTTTAACTGCACAGCCATTTGGCACATTAATAAGAGTCCTCATGGACTCGATTATGAGTTCTGTCCTTGACAAGGAAGTGTCAAGGTCACTGTGTAGACGGTTATGTGGTGCTCTGGCTAGGTTTATGTCAACTTGACACAAGCTTGAGTTATCTGAAAGGGGAGAACCTCAACTGAGAAAACGTCTCCATAATCCGGCTGTAGGGCGTTTTCTTAATTAGTGACCAGTGGGGAGGGCCCAGCCCATTGTGGGTGGTGCTATCCCCGGGCTGGTGATCCGGGTTCTATAAGAAATCAGGCTGAGCAAGCCAGTAAACAGCACCCCTCCATGGCCTCTGCATCAGCGCCTGCCTCTAGGTGCCTGCCCTGCTTGAGTTCCTGCACTTTTGATGACGAACTGTTATGTGGAACCGTGAGTGAAATACATTCTTTCCTTCCCACGTTGCTGTTGGTCATGGTGTTTGGTCACAGCAATAATAATCCCGACTAGGACATGTGGTTTCAGCCATCTTTAGAAAATGGCTTGTTAGAAAAACCTGACTCTGTTGATCAGCAGAAGCCTTGAGTTAGTCGGTATTGTTATTTTGTTCTCTGGGCTGTCCAAAGACCAGATCAGCTATTGTGTGTTTGAGGCCAAAAGTGTCTTTGGTGTACTTTCAGATATTACTCTGTGTTGCAAGCCGGGGTTCATCTAGAATGGATGACGGAATGTTGGGTATAGTTTATTTCCACAGGGCTTACATTCCAAGAGGAGGGAGGTTCAAGGAACCTCAGGCTAGGAATGGGGCGTCGAGTAGGATGTCTTATGATTCAGTATAAATTTCGAGATGTTCTGGAATGATGGTACATCAGCAGTTTATAAGTCATAATTTTTGTTTTAATTTGCTAGGCATCTGTTAGCTTCAATGGCAACCATATGGGAGTCTAAATTGCCGTTTGAATTACAGGGAGATGGAAGGAAGAGAGCTAAATGTGGCCCTGGAATTGTCACGTGAGAGAAGTGTAGGAAGGGTGTGTAGACCTCAGAGGGGAAAGTCAAGACCCGCCATCATCATGCCCGCCGCTCACTCTGGGGCTAGCATTTCTCGCTGGATGATGTTCTCAGAGGTTGAAATGGAGCCGAAGGCAAAGGTTGCAAAAGCAGGTAACTAACATGCCACCCTGCGTGAAGTTGCAACTGGGAGCTCACTTAGTTGGGTCACTGTGTACTGATTGATGCTCAGATTGGCATTTTTTTTTTTACAAAAGTGAAAGCGAGGTTCTCTTTTGATTTCTACATGGGGTCTTGCTATTTAAGCCAGCCTAGCCCAGCCTGGTGTCCAACTCTGGCTCATAAACTCCGTCCTTAGTCTCACTAGTTACTGGAGCTATAG